GGTGCAGCTTGTAGGGTACTTTCTTCTCCTCCAAGGTTAGAGTAACCCTTTGGCAGAAAGGGCCTGTCAGAAACGAAATTTTACCAAATTAGCAAAATTTGATCAAAATCTAGGAAGGAAATCGAGGGAAAATAGAGAGAAATGTGAACGTACAGTCGCCGAGGAGATCAGGTGCGCCGGCAGCGGCCTTGGCAGCGACCTCGAGAGCCATTAGGGAGCAGAGGGGGTAGAGAGTGTGGAAGATGAAACTGAAAGGTAATGGGGCAGAACGGTTGGTTATGGAGCGAGAGTTGATGAGCTTTGAGGGTATATATGTATATATATTAAGGCATATGTCAGTGCTGACACAAACTTAATACACTTTGCATATAAAAGGCTTATTAATTAATTTTTCTCTAAAATTGTAGCCACCCACTCGTTGGTAGGTAATAGAGAATTGGGAGATGGGGTGTGTGAATCAATAGTGTTGGGTAATTCTCAGTCTGTTAGAGAGTCGATCTTGGTTGTCAACTTTCACGACGTGGGGGGTTTTTGGCTGTGCTGATATCAATGACGGATACCTCTTATATGGGTGGTCCGTGGCTATTGAGCTAACTTTTTTTCCTCATTTGTTTATGGGGATGGGGTGGCTTTAGAAAAATGGAGGACAAAGCTGAAATTTTAGGGGCACATTTTAGATGTCAAAGAAATGGTTTTTGAATGTCCTCAAAGAAGACATTAATTTTAAGGAAAACTAATGAAAATGGTTTGAAAATTTTGAGTTTTAACGATAAGGACAAAATAAAGGGTAAAATGCATAGTACCAAGTTTGACTTTTTAATGTAAAAATGTGATTTTTCGTTAAAATGAACAGTACCGCGGGCTTTTCGTTAAAACTTTCTTAATTTTATTTGTTTAATAAAGTAGAAATAGTTTTCATTATTTTAATAGCATGTTAGTGTTAATTACATCATTTACAATGCACATAACCAATTTTCAGAGACACATGCATCGGCAAAAACTGCGTTTACAAAGAAGATCAGTCAACTATTATTATTATTATTTTTTTTTTGTGTGTTCAAAGACAAATTAAGTTACAAGAAAATTAAAGAGAATTGAAACGTAACAAATTCAAAAGCCTCTGACTTTGAATAGGTATGTGATCTGTGGTTAGTTGATATATCATTCAAAGAAAATTGTAGAAATGGTCGATTATTTTTAACTGAATTTGAGCGATGATCGTTCAACTAAAAATCTACAATTATTGGTCTTTTAAAACATGCATCTATGTTCCTTTCATTAACTCTGTTAGAATTTGTCTAAATGAATCATACGTCAAGCACGTGATGCTTAATCAAGTGACAAATATGAAAATCAAATGAGAAAATTTTAGCAATGGTCTCTTAACTTTAATTCAAACGGAACAATGGTTTCTTAACTTTAACCAATTATAACAATAGTCCATCAACTTTAACCAATTATAACAATGATCATTCCACCATAACTTATTTTGATAGAAATTCTAACGGAGTTGACAAAAATGATCATAACTGCACATGTTTATATCTTGGCAAGGACATTTGATTAATCCATTTAGGTCGTTTACGTGTCAAGCATTCATCCACAAATTGTGGAGCTTCAAATTTCCATATCTTTACATTCTAATCACACTTTTTTAATCTTTTTTTTTTCCCTTCTTTTTCTACGTTACAAAACACTATGAACATGGTATGAATGCTGACTACATACATAATACCACGTGGCCCTTATTTCAACCGCCATTTACATAATTATCCGTTGGCAACGGCAACGGCGTCTTCGACGGTGGCTGACTTCAGGGTACGTGTGTGGATGATTGTAATTGGAATTAAGGTACCAAATATAACCCTAAAAGTTGTTTAAATAATCTTAGTAAACTTTAGATGCGGAAAAAATAAATAAAACCGAAGATGGGTTTAATGGATATCCATTAACAACTCAATAAATTCATTTACTTGTCATTTCTAACTGCATGTTGTCCTGGTTTTGAGTATATTGCTTTATGTGAGAATATATAACATTATTGTTGGGAACAAACCCATTGGATTCATTTACTTGTCAACATATTCAATAGAATTGGTACCTTTTTAATTTGTATGTTTCTAATCTCTACCTATATCCCCATTTTCTGCCACATATTTGATATTCCTTTCCATGTCATAACAAGATGAAAAGGCATATATTATGGAAGGAAAAAGGTGACTTGGTTTTCATGGTTTTCTCCACTTTTTCTAAAGCATTACATGAGAGATGATGTGATTGTTTGGTTTTATGGTTTTCTTTACTTACTACTATGGTCTAGTGTTATTTTTCTTCATTTGTAAGTGAAAATTCTTATATTCGATTTTCGTCAAAAATGAATTTGAACCACATTATTATGACTCGTCCATTGTGAGGTTAGCCCACCTCCCTCCCCTTTTAACCCCTTAACATAGATAATATCGCTTGTTAAAAATAAAAAGAAAAAAAATAAGTATTTGGATCACCACTCACCTGACAATTACTTCATGCAAGTGAGTACAATTGAATTGGGATCTAAAATTTCTAATTTTGAGCTGATCAAAAGGAGTTATATTGGCAAGTAAAAGAAGTACTTTTACTACTAGGGCGAATGTAGTTTGATGTGAAAATAAAAATGGGTTGAATTGAACGTTGACTTTTTGTTGACACTTGAGAATTTACATATCATGGATTAGAGGTGAAGCTAGAATGTTAGTTTATTGGGGACACAATTAAGTAGAGGCAGATGTAAGACTCTATACTTGTTGCATACCAACAATAAGCGCGTAATGCCAAAATTCTTTTGAGTGAGACATTTGGTGCAGTACAAGATATAGAGTTCTAGTACAAAATATATCTTGATTTGAAACGTATATCCACCCTTAAATGTCATCTATATGATCTAAGCATAAGTTTAACCTTACTTTTATCATCATGCTGATTTAAAATTGTACGTTATGAGGCTATTTCACGTAGTTGGCCTAGTTTGGTATTGTAGTATATGTAATGTAGTTGACCTAAAATTAGTCAAACCCATGCAAACTAGGTCAAGCCTGTGTGTAATGTTGAAGTACATGCAACCAATACATTACAATAACACCATATTTATCACGTATTGTCATGTGAGTAAACTAAAACATACTGTAATGCGTGATAAGCATGAAATGCCACCATCTTCTACACGTATCTCTCGTTGTTTTGATCAATAATCAACTTGCAAACAGTGTCATAAGCGCAATGATTAAGTGGACTAAAATCTTGTTCCACAAGCCACAGGCCCAAATCCTTGACAAATAAACCCAACCCACTATTTCTCAACCTCCAAAAACCCAGGAACACCTAAGACCGAACCGCCGCGGCCGCGGCCGCTACCGCCGCCCCCAACTAAAAGTCAAAATTTGAACCATAATCTCCCATGCAATCATATGAATCGGACATACCAAATACACACCCCAACATTCCTCTATTTCCAGTCCTAATTTCTTCACAGAATCCACTCCCACAAATCCCCCTCCGTGTCTGGACCAATAAAAAATTGGAAAGCTCCAATCAAATCCCCATTAAAAAACCATATCGTTGTGGCGGGAGTTACGCAAGCAAGACAATTAAATAATTTGGGTATATTACGACAAAACAAATAGAATAAAACGACCCCAACACAAAAGATTTTGGGCTAGTTTGGTATTACTGTGTTTAAAAAAAAAACGGCTTCTGTTGTACTATGAGAATAAGCTCATTTTAACTGCTTCACGTTTTCATTTTTTTTTCTTCATCTAAAACTATGAAAATAAGTTGTTTTTAAATGTTTAACAAACACCATTTCGAGCTCATTTTTTTATATCACTTTTTACAGTACCAAACTAGTACTTTGTATTGTATCTCTGTTTTTAATTAATTAATTTTTTAAAATTTTTTCTTCTTCCCCTTCCCAATCATTTTTTCATCATTCGATCCAATTTTTTCTTCAGATCCCAGAATTTAAATCCAAAACCCATTTCCCAGATTTTACTTTTCGCCCACTTCCGTGAGCAAATAAGCAAAAATTGTTGCGGTTTTGGATTACTGACTTTATTTTAAAATTTTTCAAAATATTTTGTTGACCAGATTTGCGGGTGTACCGCTGAGTCATTTTCTTGGATTGATGAAATTATTACGTTATTAAATTCTAGTCCAAAAATGAAGGGAGAGTTTTTATAAAGATTGTTGGTTTTGGTGAAGGAATTTAATTATGGTGGCCTGACCAATGGTAGAAAGGTAAGCCTTTGAGCCTTTCATTAATTCACAAATTTTAATTTTCTGGATTTTCTTTGTTCTTTAATTTATAGAGCGATTCATAATTTTATTGGGTTTTGATTCTTGCATGCTTGTGCTTTTGTTAATGATGGTTGTTCTTCTTAATGGGATTTCATAGTGGTGGCATAAATGATGATGTTCTTTTGTTGAGAAATATTTTAATCTAAACAAAATTAGCAAGAAGGAGATTCGAACTTGAGTACAGAATGATAGAGCACGTTGATATAACCAACTTGGCTACGTCCGGTATTGCGAAGATTTTGTTTCAGTGAAGTTGAGGTGGTTGTTGTAGTAGTTAGGATGACCATATCATATGATGGCAGTGTGGGTTCTTTGAGGTTTAAAGGTCTGAAATTGTCCCTTTGTTTTGTAATTATGATGTTGTGTTCAATTTACATAGATTCTTGTTGTTCCTTTTGTTGTTGTTTCATTGATTGCTTGACAAAAGTTGTGGTAATAATTTGGTTTCTACAAACTTTCAGTATTCTGTATCTCTACTAGGTTTCTTGGAACAGTAAAAATTTATGATCATTCGGAAACTCGAATGGGTTCACTGAATCCTTTTCTTTTTGTTGTTCTTCGGATTTTCACGTTGTATACTTTTCGCTTGTTCACCAAGCATCATCCGATTTTGTGCAGATCCGTTCCTGCATTTTCTAGAGAGTCAAGTGCTCACGGTGCCTGTATAGATGATATCGGAATACTTGGCAGAAATGGAAGCTACAAGTACACCAAGTGTTATGGAAAAGCTGATGGGCCTTAATGGCTTGCCGCCTCAGGTGCCTGTCCAAAAACAAAGAAGAGTGCCGTCTGAGAATTACCTACACAGAGTTGCTTCCATTGGTGCCAGAGAGTCTCGTCATTCATTCAGGTTGAGAGTACTGGAAATTATGGATTATGAGGGTGATCATGTCGCGGCATGTCTCCCGAGGGGCAGTTCTTTGATCAGCGAGCATCAGCATAATCTGCAAGTTTCCCCTTCGACATGTACTTCTGGCAGTGGAAATGTTTATATATGCAGGAAATCCGGGAGGAGATATGAGCTGCCAAATGCCACTTTACTTGAGACGTTTGAGAATGGAATTGGCACAGAATCCCTTGGAGAAGTTGGACTCTTAAATTTAGATGATTTTTCAAGATCGCAATTGGGGTTGAACAAAGAAGGATGCATTCTTAGTGGTAGATTTGTAGTCTTGAAACCAGGGCATGGAAAGGCTGAGAATTCTGCTAGATGTTTCCCTTCTTTTAGTTCCCTTGATGTTTCTCATTCCAGTGATCGAAAGTGCACGGAGTTTTCTAGTCCTGGTAGTGTGAAAATACATGTTGAAGTAAAAGAAGGGAAGAACTTGGCATTTGACATGGAACTAGTAAGCTTAAGGTCTACAGTTTTGAGGGAAATATTGGGTAAGCTAACTGAAAATACAAGTTGCAACAAAACCAACATTGGTACAAAGGTATCACGGTTAAGATCCAGAGGTGGCAACTCAGTTGCAATGAAAACTAAATCAATGAGGCTGTCTTCCTCAAGATACCAGTCCTTTTCTTATTCAGACGAGTCATATGAATCTCGGGAAGCCAAAAAGCAACTCTCAGAACGACGGAAGATGATTAATAAGCCGGAAGAAGCAGGAATGGCTCGTAGAGGCGCTACCCTCAGGAATTCGCTTGCCCTGTCTGCCCACGAAACAGGCTCAAGAACATTGGATCACAATCTTGTTAGGCATCTTCAACCGAAAAGAAAGCTCATTAGGAATGACCTGAAAGACCTAGACCTCAGTAAGTTTAGAGCACAACAAGATAAATATGCAGCTCTTTGCAATGAGTGGAGTTTCAAGCCAAAATGGTCTATTAATTTGGGGCAGCACAAGTCAAGGGAGTACAAATTCAACTAGAATGATGGTTTCGGACCTATAAAGTTGAGATCCAACCGTAAGAAACTCCACTCTTATCCAAGCCTAGAATTCAAAGGTGTTCACACTGTGGAAAAGACTTCCGGAAATTTCAAGAAGCAGCAATCTGGACGCAGAGCCGGCATTTTTGTAGACAAAAATGACAATTCTTCCAGTCATGGCACAGATGCTTCAGTTCAACAGGTTTGTTGTTTCTTTCTTTAGAAGACAGGTAGTCTTTTTATACATGGTTTGTTTTTTTTTAATCAGTTTACTGTGAAAATCCGTATTAAATGTTGCTTGGTTATTCATGTTTTCACTAGATTTACTATTGCCCTACGCCACTTTTCTAAACTATTGTGAAACTGCAGGAAACATCCACTGAAGACAAAAAAGAAAGTCCATTTCTTTTGCACTGCTCCACCACAGAATCAGATTGTATGGCGAGCTTGGAGGAGGCTGATAAGCCTAGTCCAGTTTCAGTTCTGGAACCAATATTTAGTGGAGAGTGGTCACCTACACCAGAATTCCCGCAAAGGATGAATGTTGACATCACCGGTGTGTTGAGTCTGTTGAATAGAAGTTTGATTTCTAAGATATTAACCCTTTTTATTTGTTCATGCTTTTGATTAATTATTTTTCGATTTATTCATGCTAAATTTGTATATTCTACTTGCATTTCTGAAATCAGACTACTCTGACATATACTCCGAATGATCTGGAATGATCGTTTTAAGTGACGACGATGATGATACTATTCAAGGATCTGCAAGCAGTTACAAAGAAAATGAAGATTCAATGAGATTGTTCAGGGTTGAAGAAAGTAGAGACTATTCCTAACTTGTTGATGTGTTAGCGGAGATAGGTTTTTATGGTAGGAACTTGACAATGGACTTGAGCACCTGGTGCCCTCCGGAATGGCCAGTAAGCCTTGCTGTCTTTGAGACCCTGGAGAAGAAGTTTGGTGATCAGGCATCATGGAAAAGGTCGGACATGAGGCTTTTGTTTGACCGTATAAATGCAGGGTTGATGGAGATTTTCGAGCCTTGTATGGGTGTTCCCACATGGACAAAGCCCGTGTCTAGAAGGATTAGATCCACGCCAAGTGAGGAGATGATAGAGGAAGATCTATGGATGTTGCTTGTTAGCCAAGAGAAGGAAACAGGATGGGACACCACTGAAAAGGCGCTAGGAAGGGAGATTGAGCTAGATTTAGGAGATGATATTGATGGTATTGGTAGAGAAATTGAGAGATTTTTGTTCGATAAGCTCATAGCGGAGTTTGTTACCGTGTAGAGTTTTTAAGACACTAGTGATTATTGTCTTGGTGGAGTAATTTTGTGAACAAGTTAGACAGAGGTACTTTTACGTAGATGTGGCCACAGTTTTGATTAAGTGATAGGGTTTGCAAGGGATATATGTATAGACTCAATTTTTATACATGATAAATGAAATTCAGATGTGTTGGAATTGGATGTTTTCTCTCTAGTTCAGTACTTGCAATTGTTTCTAGAAGGATGGCTAAGCGAAAACCAGGAAGGAAGCGTAAGGAAGCTCTGTATATAATTATAAACGGATTCATGAAAGTTCGAGGACTATTTGTTCATCCTCGTTTAAGAATTGACATCAGAAGCCAATTTCCCTGAAATATCGAACGATAATCCGAGCCTTGTGAAAGCTAGGATCTTTTGTTAGGTGACCTAAACCAATCTGTGTCCATATCCAAATCATTCCTCTTTTGGAGTCAAACTTTCCTTTAGGAGCCTAACCAATACACTAATTAGGAAAGATTAGCACTAACTCCATTTGACCAACTCCTTTCAGAAACTCAATCTATACATACACCATCATACATCCACACAAACGAAAACATCCCTTCGATCCTTGAATTGAAACCCGAAAGGAAAACAATTTCGACTCCTATATTTTATTTCGCTCTCAAAGTAACATGGAAGCTCACAAAATTTTCTCCATCTCTGTCAAGGCCACTGCCTACTTCCTATTTCTTACCCTCACCATTTTCTCTGCCGCTTCAGCACGAAATCTGGAGGAGCAGCCGCAAGTTCCGGTAGTTCCCCAGTGGTGTCCGACACGTTTGATACACCTGTCACAAATGCTGCACCAGTAGCTACACCTTCAGCTGCAACTAGTTTTGCAACAATTGCAAATGCTGCTAACCACCCTACCTTGATCTTCTTTATGCACGACATCCTCAGAGGATCGAACCCCCAATGCCCTAGCCATGACGGGGATAGTCAACAACCCTGCAGTCAACGGCCAAGTACAGTTCGCCAAGCCCAATGGGGCAGTCCTACCATTTAACAATAGAGTACCCCAGTACAACAACAACAACGGTCTCATAAACAAAAATAACATCCCATTTCTCACAGGGCTTAGTGGAACAACACCAAACGTGGGACAAAATAACAATGGAAATGGTGGTGGGTTTGGAAACTTTCCGATAAATGGTGGGCAGCTCCTGCCAGGCTCTTCCACGCTCCAAAATCTCATGTTCGGAACAATGAGCGTATTTGATGATGAGTTGACTGAAAGGCATGAGCTTGGCTCTGGCTTGGTTGGCAAAGCACACGGTTTCTATAAAGTGAGCTCTGAGGACGGTACCAGTCAGACTATGGCTTTCACTGCTATGTTCCAAAGTGGGAGTTACACCGACAGTCTTGGCTTATTTGGGGTTCACCGGACATCTGTGTCAGAGTCTCACTTGGCTGTGATGGGAGGCACCGGAAAGTATGTCAATGCCAAAGGTTTCGCGTTGGTTAAGACCTTTCCGGCTTCCAACCAGCAAACTAATGGGGCGGAGACGCTGTTGCAGTTCACTGTTTATGTCACTTACTAATTATATGTGATTGAGAGCATTTGTGTTTCAAGTTTATTTGTAAGGTCTTCAGAAAAAGCGATAAAGTTTGCTGATGCGGGCTTTCTGAAGAGAGATTTTCTTATTGTATTGCTTGTTATTTTAGAGAAACGAAATGATTACATTTTGTTTTCTGTAACATTGTTCAAATTGAAACGTCTGAACCAAACACAGGTCTGCAAGTTTAGATCCGAACTTCTTTCCTAATGGAACAAATCAGTTCATGTCCATATGAGCAATCAGCGCATGTCCTACAAAACGTTACCACACTATAATCTCCGATTATGTGTAACCTCTGTAGGTTTTGCCTAGCTATGCCAGCCGGTCTGTAACTCATCACGGATTAATTCCTCCCGTCAAGATTTAAATCTTGGTTGAGTGTTATTATTTTCTGTGAACAACTCTGCTCTCCATTTATCATCTTGTCGAAAATTGCAGAACCATATTGTGGACTTGTAAGTCGTCATCCATTAAACTTTAAGTCTGTCCAAACCAGAGATATTGGTAAGGAACAAATGTTACATATTGATAAGCTTTTATGATTCAACTAATACAAGATAATTTGACAAGCCAGTGATTTTGTTTCCGCGTTTCAGAAAAAGGGTAATCTACGAGTTATCCAATCAATTACGATATATCTGTCAAAAACATGAGACACCTACAGGTTGAAGGAATAGACTTAGGAATATATCACGACATGAACTTGAATGAATGAATTGTGAGAAAGTTAATGGTGTCTATTGATGTAAAACTAATAGGTTTGAACACAGAACGCAGCAGAAAAAAGTTGTGATATTGATACTTGGCTCTGCTTATGACATTTTTAATGGTTGGTTTTTCTTCTTTGATTAAACAAGAAACGAGTCTGCCTGCGGGGTAGTTAAGTTGGCTAGAGTGGATGTGCTCTCCCATAGTTTAGATTAAATTTAAGTAGAAAACTGCTCGAATAAAAGAACAAAAAGAAGTTTGATCGGACTTTTTAATGACAAAGATTTCATTTTTCATTCAATTAAAGATACACATAGAAAGTACATCAAATGCACATTGAAATTATGAAGCATCTCATAACCCCATACTGCTAAATAAAAAACACACGACCACTTTCTATTCAGAAAGGTAAAGGCCGATCTGCATAATAGTATCCACCCCATCAGTCGTGTACTGGTCCTCCTGATGCAGGCTCTCAATGGCGGTGTACCCGTTCGCATTCTCGTACTTCCCAGTCCCACCGATCACAACAATGTGGGACACCGGCGACGCTGTACGGTGGACCCCAAAGAGGCTAATGGTGTCCTCCACATCATGTTCACCTGCGTGCAGTAACACAGTAAATGCCATGGTGTGGCTGTTCCCGTCCAGCGAACTAACTAAGTAGAAACCCTGTGCCTTGCCGAGCACGGCAGAGCCCAACTCGTGTCCTTCGGTCAGGTTGTCATCGATCACAGTCACAGATCCGAACATGAGCTTCTTGAGGGTAGCTCCGTTAGGGAGCTGGCCGGCAGTGACGAAGGGTTGGTTGCTGCCATCGTTGACAATGTTGTTGTTGCCGCTATTCTGGATGACCGTGTTGGACTGGGAGTTGGTGAGGCCGCTGAGGCCGGCGATGTTAGGGATGTTGTTCTTGTTGTTATTGAGGAAGCTGTTGATGTTGTTGTTGGTTAGGGGGGCCCACCGCTGACGGGAAAGATATTGTTGTTGGGTTTGGAGAATGCAACGTTGAGGACTGTTGTGGCTACGAGGCCGGTCACCACTCTGATTGATGGGTGGGATCCTCCCAGGATGTCGTGCATGAAAAAGGACAAGTGTGGGGTTTCCGCGCCGGGTTTTGCCACGATGGCACTAGCGGCCACGGAAGTTGGGTTAGGGCCGATTGGTGTTGTGGCGACGGGACCTGCCACAGATGTGGCGACTGGAATGGCGGGTGTTGCTACAGGGGGCCATATCAGCAGTAGGTGTTGGCACTACGGAAGGTTCGTCGTCCGTCTCTGGTAATGGTGAGTTAGCTTGTGAGACCGTTGTGACAGAATGGACTACGGGAGACACCACCTCAGCTTTTGGCGGGGTATCATCCGTCTCTGGGATTGGTGAGTCAGCGTCGTCGACAGTGTCATCGACCGTTATGGTGGTAGGGGCAACGGCAGGGATCTGACCACTTGGCAGAGGGTTCATGGCGGGAACAGTTGTCGGAAGTGGATTGGACTCATCGGGTTTCACCTCGTCAAGTATCCTAGCTGAGCTGGAAAATCCAAGGGTGATGGCTACAAGCAAGATGTAGAGTGTGGCCTTCAGTGGTCTGATGGTCTTTGCCATTTTTAGGTTGTGAGCTTGTGAAGAAATGAAGGGTTTTGTATTGAATCTTTGTCTCTTGAGAGAATGTATTGGATTTGAGTGTGTGTTGTGTTTGAGAAATGAAATGATTTGTGTTGTTATATATAGGTTGTATTGGAGTTGTATGAAGTGATGGAGTTGGTGCACCCTTTTTTCTTATCGGAGTGTTTATGGTTGAAAAACCAACTCCCTCCATCAAATGGAATTGGTGCCTTTTTTTAGTAGTTTAAGATGGTGCTGGTATGAGCATATTAGGTGCTGCCCACTACAGCCCGGAGTTTTGGCTTGATCTTTAGGAGATTTACCCTGAGGTAATTTTGAGTAAGTAAAACCACATCATACACAAATGCTAAATAACTACAGCAACCGGTTAACTTCTAATTTTATGTCAAACTGTATATCTGCTATGAAGAGAATTTGTCATACAACCGGAGATATATCTCTTTTGTGATGGATAGTAATAAATAAATAAAATGACTCGAACATACTTGATCCTTGTCTATTTCAATTACTTAGGGTCAAATGGCTCAGCATCATTCCCTGTTTGATGATCCTTTGAGCGACAAGGACTGCATTATTTACTGCCTTAACAGTTGCATAGCCATTTGCACCATCATACATCCCAATCCCACCAATGAGAGCAACATGAGACCTGTCACGCTGGTGCACATCCGTCTAGATCTTGAAAAATCTCAATTCATTCTTTAAATTCGTTATCTGAGAAATGTGCGTAGTCATCATGTAACTGCTATGCTCTTATCTTCAGAGCTTGCAACAAAAATCCCTTGTGCTTTTCCAATGATTTGTGGACCATAATACCCTGAGCTTTCAAATATATATGTCCTCATCAATCAGGGTTACAATCCTAAGTTCCAGTTCTTGGAGTTAGCCCTAGCAGAAATAGTCCTCAAGTTGCTAACTAATGAAACTACAAGGACAAAAATGCAACAACAAAAAATACGTTGATGAAAGTGAAAACATCAATAAATAAGGGGACTATTGGTGCAATTAAGCATTTTTTTCTATATAAAAAACAAATCCCGATATCGACCGAAGATTCAGTGTCTCTGACTTCATTTTTCAAAACCCTAAACGGGCCTAAACCTCGCGAGGTCCCAACACTCCCCACTTCACCGTCCTCCCAAAGCCCTAGCTTTTTCCGGCAGCCCCAAATTTCCATGCCATGTACCTCTACAGCCTCACTCTCCAGCGCGCCACCGGCATAGTATGCGCCATCAACGGCAATTTCTCCGGCGGCAAGGCCCAGGAGATCGTCGTCGCCCGCGGCAAAGTTCTCGACCTTCTCCGTCCCGACGAAAATGGTAAGATCCAGACTCTCCTCTCTGTTGAAATTTTCGGCGCAATTAGGTCGTTAGCTCAGTTTAGGCTCACTGGCTCTCAGAAGGACTATATTGTTGTCGGGTCCGATTCGGGTCGGATTGTGATTCTAGAGTATAATAAGGAGAAGAATGTGTTTGATAAGATTCACCAGGAGACTTTCGGGAAATCGGGTTGTCGAAGGATAGTTCCGGGTCAGTATTTGGCCATTGACCCCAAGGGGAGGGCTGTTATGGTTGGGGCATGTGAGAAGCAGAAGCTTGTTTACGTTTTGAATAGGGATACTTCTGCTAGGTTGACGATTTCGTCTCCGTTGGAGGCTCACAAGTCGCATACGATTGTGTATTCAATTTGTGGGGTTGATTGTGGGTTTGATAATCCCATGTTTGCTGCCATTGAGTTGGATTATGCGGAAGCTGATCAGGACTCTACTGGGCAGGCGGCGAATGAGGCGCAGAAGCATTTGACTTTCTATGAGCTCGATCTTGGCCTCAATCACGTATCAAGGAAGTGGTCAGATCAGGTTGATAATGGTGCAAATATGCTGGTCACTGTTCCTGGAGGTGGGGATGGGCCAAGCGGTGTATTGGTCTGTGCGGAAAATTTTGTGATTTATAAGAACCAGGATAAACCGGATCTCAGGGCTGTGATTCCTAGGCGTGCAGATTTGCCTGCAGAGCGTGGGGTTCTTATAGTTTCAGCGGCTATGCACAAGCAGAAATCAATGTTCTTTTTTCTTTTGCAGACAGAGTATGGAGATATATTTAAGGTTACTCTGGATCATGATAACGACAAGGTCTCAGAATTAAAGATCAAGTATTTTGATACAATTCCGGTTACAACTTCAATGTGTGTGTTAAAATCTGGGTTTTTGTTTGCTGCGTCAGAGTTTGGGAATCACTCTTTGTACCAGTTCCAGGCAATAGGGGAAGAACCTGACGTGGAGTCTTCATCAGCCACATTGATGGAAACGGAAGAAGGTTTCCAGCCTTTGTTTTTCCAGCCCAGAAAACTAAAAAACCTTGTTAGGATTGATCAAGTTGAGAGCTTGATGCCGATAATGGATATGAAGGTCAATAATCTCTTTGAGGAAGAAACACCTCAAATATTTACACTTTGTGGGCGGGGTCCTCGTTCATCCCTCAGGATACTAAGACCTGGTTTAGCTATCAGTGAGATGGCCGTGTCAGAGCTTCCTGGTGTACCGAGTGCGGTCTGGACAGTGAAGAAGAATGTGTCCGATGAATTTGATGCATACATTGTGGTGTCATTTGCAAATGCTACTCTTGTGCTTTCAATTGGTGAGACAGTTGAAGAAGTTAGTGACAGTGGGTTTCTTGACACTACCCCATCACTTGCAGTTTCTTTAATAGGTGATGATTCTCTCATGCAAGTGCACCCAAATGGAATTAGGCATATTAGGGAAGATGGACGTATTAATGAATGGAGAACTCCTGGAAAGAGGACGATTGTAAAGGTTGGCTCTAATAGACTTCAGGTAGTTATTGCACTGAGCGGAGGAGAACTCATATATTTTGAGGTTGATATGACGGGTCAGTTAATGGAGGTGGAGAAACATGAAATGTCTGGAGATGTAGCCTGTCTAGACATTGCCCCTGTACCTGAAGGGAGACAGAGATCTCGTTTCCTTGCCGTTGGTTCATATGACAGCACCATTCGTATTTTGTCATTGGATCCTGATGACTGTATGCAAATTCTTAGTGTGCAAAGTCTTTCTGGAGTTCCAGAATCTCTCCTCTTTCTTGAGGTTCAAGCATCAATTGGTGGGGAGGATGGTGCTGATCATCCTGCTAGCCTTTTCCTTAATGCTGGTTTACGCTCTGGGATTTTGTTCAGAACAGTGGTGGATATGGTCACAGGTCAACTCTCTGATTCCCGTTCTCGATTCTTGGGACTAAGAGCACCAAAGCTATTTTCTATTAGTGTGAGAGGCAAGCATGCTATGCTTTGCTTGTCAAGTCGGCCCTGGCTTGGTTATATCCATCAAGGACATTTTCTCTTAACACCCCTATCGTATGAGACCCTTGAATATGCTGCCTCATTTTCATCCGATCAATGTTCGGAAGGTGTAGTTTCTGTTGCTGGAAATGCTTTGAGGGTTTTTACTATTGAAAGATTGGGAGAAACATTTAATGAAACTGTGATTCCACTGAGGTACACCCCTAGAAAGTTTATCATTCAGCTCAAACGAAAGCTTTTGGTAATTATTGAAAGTGATCAAGGAGCGTTCACAGCAGAAGAGCGTGAAGCTGCCAAAAAAGAGTGTTTTGAGGCTGCAGGTTTAGGTGACAATGGAAACGGTAATGTAGATCAGATGGAAAATGGCGGGGATGAGGAGGATCCCTTGGCTGATGAGCACTACGGGTATCCTAAGGCAGAGTCTGACAAATGGGTGTCTTGCATTAGAGTTCTTGACCCCAAGACAGCAACTACAACATGTCTGCTGGAGCTTCAGGATAATGAAGCTGCATTCAGTATCTGTACAGTGAATTTCCATGACAAGGAGTATGGTACGCTTTTAGCTGTTGGCACAGCGAAGGGACTGCAGTTTTGGCCAAAAAAGAGTGTAACAGCAGGCTATATACATATATATAGATTCCTAGATGATGGAAAGTCCCTTGAACTTTTGCACAAGACACAAGTGGATGGTGTTCCTCTTGCCTTGTGCCAGTTTCAAGGAAGGTTACTAGCTGGGATCGGACCAGTGCTCAGACTCTATGATTTGGGGAAGAAAAGATTACTCAGGAAGTGTGAGAATAAGCTGTTTCCCAACACAATTGCGTCAATCCAAACTTATCGTGATCGGATTTATGTAGGTGACATTCAAGAGGTATGTTTTCTTTGTCTGTGGTTGTATCTGGTTCCTGTTGTGTGGCACCTTCCCACGTTACATTTTTGTTATACATGGGTAACTGATATCCTATTGTTCGTCTAAAAAACCAAGTTATTTGACCTTGGATTATATAGGCTAAATAAGTAGATACATGCTTGGATTTTTATTTTTTTATTTTTTGGTTAAAAATTCTTCGGGAAGGGTCCAATAGCTGAAATTTAGACTAAAATTTCTCTTCGTACAAAATGCAATGACATATCATATATTGTTTCCTGATGTATACTGGGTTCAGAGTTACTGTTATATGTAATCAATCACGTTTGGTTGCGTAGTCTTAGTCCGTGGTAATATTCCAATATCGGCTTTCTGCATACTGGATGTGAGGTACATTTTGTGTGGTGGATTTCTTTGAAGTACATATTCTTGTTCTTCTTGCTTGCCGGTCTTTGTTCACTATAAGGGACTAACTATATTTCCCATGGTGTTAATTCTTTGGCAGTCATTCCACTACTGCAAGTATAGGCGGGATGAGAATCAATTGTATATCTTTGCTGATGATTGTGTTCCAAGATGGCTTACAGCATCCTTCCATATAGATTTTGACACCATGGCAGGTGCAGACAAGTTTGGGAATGTTTATTTTGTGCGGTTACCACAGGATGTTTCAGATGAGATAGAAGAAGATCCAACGGGTGGGAGGATAAAATGGGAGCAGGGAAAGTTGAATGGCGCTCCCAACAAAGTAGAGGAGATAGTGCAGTATCATGTTGGTGATGTTGTCAGCTGCTTG